AGCTGCTCAAGTTAACACACACTTCACTCACAGCTTGGTACAGAAGCAACGGGTGGGGGATGAGCACTCAAGGGGGAAAAGGACTCGGTGGACAGCCGAGTGGGTCACTATGAGGTTAGCAGAGAAGTGGGGGGAGGGGGTGTCAGAGGCGGGAGTAGCCTCCCTCGGGATGGCCATGGGGAGGGGGCATCCGTGTTGGGAGAGCCAGGCAGAAAGAACCCTTGAGGCGGCCTCTTCTGTAACTTCCACCCGTCTGGTGTGGGTGGCAGACGGAGGATGGCACCTCGGCAGCAGCGCCAGGCCACCCTCTCGGGTGGGCAGGGTTGGGGGCCAGCCGTGGCAGCTGCCTGCCGAGTTGTATTCACCAGGCTCTCCTTGCTTGCTCTCTGGAATTCTCCAGCAGCCCTGGACAAAAGAGAGCAGAACAAACTACCGCCCCACCAAGTCCTCCTGCTGCTGCTCTTCCACCTCCTCGTCCACACCAATCTGTCCTGCACACTCACGGGCTCTCAGACCAGCTGAGGGCACAAATCTTATGGTGCTGGGTACGCACCCCCAGCCCGGGGATCTTCTTGGGCACTGCTGTCTTCCCCCCACTCACAGTCCTGCCGGGGTGCCAGGATGGGATCTGCCTCCGGGCTGGCACTGGTGTCCCGGGGCCTTTGGGTCCAGGGACCCTGGTGTTTCACTCACGAAAGGACTCAAGGGTGCTGCCCTCGTGAGGCTCCCCTAGAGCAGTGTAGATGATCCTGAAGACGGGCTGGATCCTGCGGCCTCCTCTCCGGAGCGCTGTCTCCCGGCCTTGCTGCACTTCTCCCCAGGCATTGGTTCTCTCTGGCCAGGACAGCCTCCACACCCCATGGGGACTGGAAGTTGCTAGGTTTCTTAGAGTCACAGCCTTCCTATCTTCTGCCTCTGCTTTCCTGATGTCCCCATCTGAGTCCTTGTGGCTCCATGCAGCTGCAGCAGCTCCTGGCTTCCTCCTATGGTACATCCTAGGAGCCTTGCATCTGCTCATTACTGAGCTGAATGTGGTGTAGTTTTGCTTGTTAGAGTTTTCTCCAGCTGGCATTGGCTTAGGGGACTTAACTTGTGCCTGGTTATTTTGCCATTGTACCTTACTAAGGTCCCCTGCCATTTCTCTGAACTGCTCTTTCCCCTCCTTCAAACATCTTTTTTGTCTCCTTGGCTTACGGGAACAGTGGTTACCCTGTTCCCTGGAGCCTAGTTGGTCTTGGGCTTGGGGTGGCTCTTCTCCCAAGCCCAGGCCCCGTTTCCCATCTCCATTGCAGCCCGTCTCTTCTGCTTCACTAAGGTCCGGTTGGATGGGTTCAAGCAGTGTACTCTGATGTGGCCTTCTTCCCCGCAACTATAGCAGAATGTGTCATAATTCCGCTTTCTTGCACCTTGAGATCTATCTCTGGGCACACCTCCCCTTCGGTGCTGGCCTCTGCCCCTCCGGCGACGGGAACCCTGGTAAGGTCTTTTCTCAAGACCACTGTCAAAGGCAGGAACAAACAGTGCCCTCTCCCTGCCTATTTCCAGCCCCTGTGGGCAGCTATTCTCTGCCCCCATAGTAGCTTCCCACTCCTCCTCCTCACGAAATAAACTCATCAGGGCCAGGAAACCAGGTGGCTTCCGACGCCGTTTCATTAGCTTAAGTTTCTCTCGAAGTTTTCCAGTAAGGATGGCCCCACCTAAGATTCGTTTAAGGCGGGTCTGATTCACATTCCTTCGTGCTATTGCCCTTTTCTCTAGGGCTTTTTGGAGCAGGGTCTCCAAACGGACCACAAAGTTAGAAACTGTCTCTCCTGGCTCCTGATAAGCCTTACAAAATTTCATCTGGGCCATTCTGCGGCTCTCCACAGGCCCAAATACCTGGCGCAGGGCCTCCAGGCACTCCTTCACTGTGACGGCAGCATTGTTGGCACGGAGCACATTGACCACTTGTAGAGCGGGGCCTTGCAAGCATTCCACCAGCCTCCGCCTCTTCTCCACCTCAGGTACCTGCCACATCTGTAACATCTCAGTGGTGTGCTCAAGCCAGGACTCAAAGGCCAATAACCCTGGGACTGACGCTGTGTTCCCAGAAAAGACTCTTAGTTCTCGGTAGAACATTTGTTCTAGCAGAGGCTGCATCACTGCACCGAAGGTCTGAGCCCAGGCCCAGAAATCTGCTGTTATCGCTGCTTTGTTAGGTGAATAATTAGAGTGTGTCCCAAGGAGCCTGTTTAAGTCTGATACTGAGCGCCTCTCTTCCTCTAAGAAGTGGTTCAGTCTATTGAGAAATTCATCATCTGAATTAGGGGGGTTCACAATCACTTCCCAGGGCCCACCCTTTCCTTCTATTTCCCTGGGTACCAACGCATAGTCAAAATCATGTGCAAGTTCCACCAGAAAGGCCTGGGCGTTCTCCTCCCTCCTAAACATCCTGCCAATGATCCTATATCTTCCCAGATGCCTGAGAGCTTCGTGCAGAGTCTCCTCAAATTCATTCTCACTACAGTCCTCAGGAATCCCCAGGATCAGCATAGACCTCTGGGTGTTCAGATGCTCCCCCCTACACCAGTCCTGCAACAGGTTCAATGGCATGGCTCCAACTTCAAGAGATTCTAATGTAGGGAGTGATTAGGGTATGATGCACATAAATTTGGGGCAAATTCCAGATCCGTAGCCCTCCCAGGCCTCCAGAGTCTGTAAAAAGGGTGAAAGGAGATTAATGCGCCCCTCCCCCCCCCCGCGTCCCTTCTACGCCACCCAGCCTCCACCCACCTCCTGCGAAGACACTTCTACAGCCCACCCCGCTGCGTGCTATAGCCCCCTCCTCACCCCAAAGGCTGCAGCGGAGGCCCCACCGGGTTGGGCCCTCCCGCTGCAGCCCCCTCCCCAACCCAAAGGCTGCAGCAGTACCACCCTACTGGGCGGAGGGGGCTGCCCAGGCCAGCCGCTTCCTCCTGTGAGCTGGTACCTCTTAGGTCAAGATGCTTCCTCATTCACTGCCGCAGTGAGGTTCCCAGACTGCTCAGAGAGGAGGTGGGGTCGGACACCATTCCTTTCCAGGGTCTCTTGCCAGCTTCCTTGCTCCCTCTGGCCCTCTGGTACCGCACGTCGTCCAATGCGCTGGCGCGGGCTCGCCTCCGCTCTCTGCAGTGCGGACTTGGGGCGGGGGTGCTGTGGCGCTGAAGCGCGGACCCTCCGCGTCGCCTGGGAGACCGCTGAGCCATTGGCGCATGAGGATCACGCGACAAGTCTGTTGCCTAGGCCTTGGGCAACCTGGGGCCTCAGGTGACGTCACCTGCTGCTGCCCACCCCCAACATACCTCCGCTACTCCAGCACAGAGGACCCCACCTCAATTCTCTGAATCTGGCGTTTATGAGTCAGTATCCAGTGTCCTTCTGCCTTTGACTGTCCCCAAGCTGTCCCTTATCATGACTCCAGGTCAGTTCCGCTCTCCCCGAGAATACAAAGTCAGGGCCCCAGAGTGCTCAGGGGTCTCCACAGAAGGGCACCAGAAATCTGTGTTGCCCCCTCCAGCTCTGTTTCCTGATTAAGGCCAGGGAGCAGGGACTCTGAGGGGTTTTGCCCTGGTGAGTCCCTATCTTGACCTAGTCTAGTGACAGAGCTGGGCAAGCAACACCTAGTCTAGGTAGAGTCCCTGGAATAGATAGCTAGCACATGAGCCCACACACCCCATCCCGCCCCTCCCCACGGAGCGTGCACCATCTGGGTGATGCCCATCCCAGTGGAAGGGGCTGCAGGCACTTTCACCACTGTGGGGCCTGCATGCCTTCCTGCCCTTGGTGCCAGTGGCCAGCTCACAGGAGGGTCCAGCACTGGCGGCCCTTTCCTGCTCTGCAGGCTGTATATCCAGCTTCTTGAAAAGCTGCCTTGGAGATTTGAAGCCCAAGGCAGTTGTGACCCACAGGATGAGAACTGCTGCTCCACAAGTAATGAGTCTCCTTTCATGACATATGGAATAGCCCCTTGGCATGCCTACTCTGGAGATCAAGCATGTATGTACTCCTTAAATAACATCAAACACGTTGTTCCCAATTAATGTCTCTCACAAAACAGGTGCTGCCTTCAGGCCTCATACTGATCTCAGCTTTGTTGCTCTAAAGGTTCAACTTGCTCCAAACCACATCTTTATCTGCTCATCCTACACTGTCATATGCCAAACACACTGGTTCCGGGAGGAGAGATGGCTCAGCTGTTAAGAGCACTGACTATTTTTGCAGAGGACCCAGGTTCTATTCCCAGCACCCACAGGCTGGCTTATAACTCCAGTTTCAGGAGATCTAATGTTCTCTTCTGGCCTCCATGGACACCAGGTATGAGGTGTACAGACATACATAAGCAAAGCACTCACACTCATAAAACAGTCTTGTCAAAGCAGAGAGACGTCATGGATTTCTCTAGAAAAGAGTTAATCTGTGAATGTTCTGAACATTAGGCAGAGGATTGGGTAACAGCAAAATTGGAACAATAGGTTTGAATTTGTTCAAATTGTAAAGTTTTTTCTTAACACATTTGTAAAGTTAATCATTGGCCTTGAAGCCAATAGAAATGCATCATTTGCTTTGTGTCCCCATCAGCACAAAGGTACCACATATGGAAAAGTGATGAGGAAACATCAGTTACATTGTCGAAGTATAGTAGACTGTGGAGAAGGAAACCGATTTATTTGGCCTTGCCCTGGACTAGAACATCAGTGTGTAAGAAGGCTACTCAGAGGCCAGCTAGGATCACCACATGCCGCACTATGAGATACTGTACAGTAATTCTGCAGAAATGCTCTGCTTTTACAGGTTACTAAAGAGCAAATTAAGTAGGTATGTTGGGGACCACTATAGCTACATCTTTTAGATTTTGCAGATTGTCCTAATCTCTGAAATCCACCTCTGTCATTGTTTTTATTATAATCTTCTGGCCATGTGAGATAGGAAGGGGTACATTTCTTCAGGCTTCCACCTGGTTTTCCTCATCTGCAGGGACAGGTGGGACAGTCACATTATTGAAATGCTACTGATGTTGACACTGACAACCACACCACACACACACACACAGACACACACACACACACTTCATTAGTTACAGAATTGAGGGTTGGAGGGTTGTGGAAGAGGCCCTCAAGAAGTTTCAAGATAGCTTGGGGGTACAAAGAAGGCAATCTGGGTTCCCGTGTTGGTGATAGTGAGGCAGAGGTAGAAGTTCCCTGTAAGAACAGGGATTTGCTTGATTTGAATGTGCCTAAGATGACAAAGGGAACACCAAGGCTTTTTTTTATCAGGTTGTCCTGGATCAAGATGGAAGATAGAAAGCTAACTTCTATAGGCAATGAAGGCTGAGTCCATGGCTTCTGCAGTGCAGAGAATAGAAGCTTCTTGGTAGTTAAAAATGAAGTGGCTTGCACTCTGCCTGACCTTCAACCCCAAAGGATATGGTGGTTTGAAGGAGAATGGTCCCCGCAGGCTCATGGGTGTGAATATTTGGTTCCCCTATTGGTAGAACTATTTGGGAAGAATTAGGAAATGTGGTCTTGGGAGAGCTGTGCCACTGGTGCTGGGCTTTGAGGTTTCTTCCCAAATAGTCCTCTCTGTCTGCAACTTGCTGACAAGATGTGAGCTCTCAGCTGTCCCTGCTGCCACGCATGTGTTTGCTCTGCCATCATAGACTCTACCCTCTGAAACCATAAGTCCCACATTAAATGTTTTCAGTCATAAGTTGAATTGGTCATGGTGTTTTATCACAGAAATAGAAAAGTAACTAAGACCGAGGGGTTTCACTAGAAGAAATAAGAATACAATATAGGCAAAAGGTAAACCCTCTGTGACAAGGATATCACTAAGCTCTCTTAGCATCATAGATAAGACTAGTAAGGTGCCACAAGAGGGAGATAATGGGAGAGTGACAATTATAGTGCCCTCCCCGATGTCATAGCTAAGCCTTAGCTTCAAAGATACAGAGGGAGCCAGGCCTGGTAGCTCTGGTGGGTTGAATGAGAATGCCGCCTATAAGCTCATATATTTTCACTAACTGTTTGTTAAAGGCTAAGATGCAGGTTTGTTGGAGGAAGTGTGTCTCTGGGAGTGTGCTTTGAGGTTTCAAAAAGTCAAGCTCTCTCTCTCCCTCCCTCTCTGCTATCTGTCTGTCTCTCCCTCCCGCGCGCTCCCTCCCTCCCTCCTGCGCGCTCCCTCCCTCCTTCCCTGTCTCCCTCCCTGTCTGTCTCCCTCCCTCCCTCTCCTCAAGGATTGGGATGTTAAGTTCCCAGCTACCAGTCCAGCACCCTGCCTATCTGCTTCTCATCATGATGGTTATGTCCATAACCTTCTGTACTGGCTGGTCAACTTAACACAAGCTAAAGTCATTAGAGAGGAAGAAGCCTCAGCTGAAGAAAGGCCTCCATGAGATCCAGCTGTAAGGCTTTTTTCTCAATTATTGATCCACGGGCACACCCATGGTGGGTGGTGCTATCCCTGGGTTGCTGGTCCTGGGTTCTATAAGAAAACAAGCTGAACAAGGTCTGTGGTTCTGCTGCAGCTGGGATTTGTGCTGATCTCCAAGGCCTGTGTCACCACAGGAGGCCATAGGAACCATATCTGTTGAAATCTGAGGGCAGCTGCGCTGGCTTTGCCCTTCACTGATCCTGAGATAGCTGGCCCTACCCCTCCCTTGGCACTCCCTCTCCAGCAGGAGAGCTCTTCCAGACCCTCACTGGAGAGCTGCCCCTCACCCCAGCACTTGGAAGAGATGATCCCACCCCTTACCATGGTTGTGGAAAAGCTGGTTCTGCCCCTCACATAAGGGGGGCAGTCCCAGTGGCCCAAAGCCCAGACTGACCAGCTCAGCTCCCATCCAGGCCCACATCCTAGGCCTTGGGTTGGCCTACTCTAACATCTATGCCATCTATAACCTGCTGGAGCACATGAAGGGACTGGTCGCGCAGAATGATAGCTGCAGGATCTCCAATACTCAGAGCCACAGCAGGGTGTCTGAGAGGAGTTTCAGTGAGGGCCCAGTGATGATGGTATGCCAGAGGCATTGGACCAGACCACTCATTCATTGTAGTGAACATTGCAGGTGAGGCTGATGTGTGACACACGGCAGCCTCCAATGCCACTAGGGCAAATGAAGAAGTATTGGAGAGGTGTGTGTTTGTTTGTTTTGTCTTTAATTAATTTGGGGGTTTTCTTTTGGGGAGGATGCTGCATACGTATATATGTGTGTATATACATATATAGATATATACATATACATGTATGTGTGTGTGTATATATATATATATATATATATATAGAGAGAGAGAGAGAGAGAGAGAGAGAGAGAGAGAGAGAGAGAATCAGAAACTGAAAGGCTCTGAGTAACGAAGAAGCACCAAGGCTTTCTTAACAACTTGTTCCATGTGAATCAGGATGGAAAACAGAGACCTGGAAGCTATAGCCTTTTGACCAGGTATATAGGTCTGTATCTTCAACAACATACAACACACTCATGGAATAGGTCTAACATCCAATCACAGAGTGGTTGGTTATGCCCAAATAACTTTCACTATTATACCAGTGATCACACATCCTGACTGGTTAGTATTATAGGAGACATATCTGTCTACAACTGGATAAGATCCTTGGCGACTTTTCTCCGCCAGCAACCTACACCAGTAATATGATCAATAGCCACCAGTGAGAGAGTTTCCAGCTCTTTTTTGCAGAGGATGATGTCTAATTCCCAGACAAAGTGTTGAGAATAAGTCACTGCTACGTGCTCAACCCTAAACTAGGCAATTATATCAACTTTTCCCTGTTCTCCAGGCCTAAGGAACATCAGAGAAGAGAGGAAAGAACTTAAAAGCCAGAGGGTGGGGGCAGGGAGAGACTGGGATGAAATTCTGCCAACCAGATATGACACTGCATTCGCAACCACACACACACAGCAGCTAGGGATACTTGTATGTAATTGGGCCTTCAAACTTTCCTCCATGGACAGGGGAGGTGCCCATGTGGCTTCATTTTTCCCTCAGGAGCTATTGACTGTTAATGGTTGTTAGAAGAGAGACTGTCTTTTTTCTAATGGAGCTAGGTGGGAAGAATGGGGTCAGAGGGAAGGGAACGGGGATAGCAGAGTGAAATGGAGGAGTGAGTATAAGCACAACACAGTGGTGTGTGTGTGTGTGTGTGTGTCTGTGTGTGTGTGTGTAAAATTGTCCAAACAATAAGGAGTGATGATCTCTGCTAGGATCAAGTGGGAATGAATTCAGAGAAATGAGAAGGCATATAGCAGAGTATAATAGGGAGTGGATATAATCACAGTTCACAATACACTGCAAGTGTGTATAACTTTTTTTAAAATGGTGTGTTTGTGCGTATGTGGGGAGGAGGCGTCTTTGGCTCTTCAATACCAGGACAGAACAATCCTCTTTCTACTCTTCTCTTTTTTACATTTAAACAACGAGAGACTCCATAACTACTGAGACTGGACAAAGTGTGACCCCCACTGCTGGGCCTCAGTTATTAAATAAATGCACAGGTAAATTGAACTCCCCCATCTGGCACGGTGGAAGTTGGCTCAGTCTTGGGGAGTGTGGGGGAGAACCTGGTGTCCTTGAGATCAGCACAGTTAATGAGGTCACCTAAGCTGCCTGCCCAGGCAAGGCCACCCTTAGGAACACCACCTTGGCCAATCAGGGGTCTGCCTGAGACGGGAAATGGAGTGGGGGATGGGCAGTGGGAGAACGCTGGAGCAGTGGGAACTATTTGTGGTCATCCAGCGCCATCTTGCGTCTTGTGCGGGCACTGCCTCAGGAGAAGCCCCGAAGACGCCAAAGCTGCCTTAGCAGCCATTTGGTGGTTTGCACTGGAGCATTCCCCAGGGTCCACCACTACTTGAGCTCAACACTGCAGGAAATGGCCGCTTGCGCAAGCGCACTCTTAACCAGGCATTTGCTTTGCGGACAAGTTCCCCCCAGACTGTTCATGAGGATACGGTCATATGGAGACTTGTAGATCACTAAAGCTTAAGCATGCTTGATTACACTGCCCTAGAATTAACACACACAGTACACAAACAGATGGGTGTTTTCTGTTTCTGTTGCTCGTGTATCTGGAAATGTGAATGAAACATTGGTCCACTCTTTTCCATCATAAGTGTGTTTGCTAAGAGATCATGAACCCTAAAACTATAAACTGCAAAAAAATGTAAAATAAACTAGGAAACTATGTCTATGGTGGGGCTTATATGTATACTTTCTGCCTTCCCTTTCATGTCTTATTTTTCTTTTTCTGAAACAGGCAATGTATAAAAAAGAGGATGCAAGCTTATTGAGAAACGGGTAACAGGGAAGAGAGAGAAAGAGGCACAAAGACCTGCTTGCTTCTTCAGAAGAGCAGTGGGAAGAGAGTGGGAGTAGGCAGGGCTTGTCTCTTAAAGGGACCTTTGCACCTGCATAGAGTCAGCATACTTCTTGCCATGTGCAGAGGGGTGACTGCACTGTGCCAGCTTCCCAATGGGCAGGGCCAAGATGTGCTTAGATGCTAACAGGGGATACCCATTTTTCTCAACACTCAATGCCCAGATTCTGCAGGACTACCTGTGCATAGTGAAGAACAGACTGTGCCGGAGAGACTCAGGTTGGTCAGAAATTTAGTTAGAAGCACCTAGGGATGGTATGTGTGGGGCAGATGACTGGAAATCTTCTAGGACAGATATAGACTACAGACAGAAGTTAAAGTTAAGGAGAATAGGGAATTTTTTTTTTTATCTTGGGTTTACACTTGAAACTTCCAGGCCCATGGTCCTGGTAGGTGGAGAGGGAGCATGCCAACCAAGTGGGGGAGGAAGCAAGAGAAAACCCACACGCAGGAATAGACAGGTCTGGAGACATAGGCTGCTGTTAACTGACAAATCTGGAGTCAGTTTGACCTGGGAATGATTCATTCAAGTCTCTTGACTCCCTGAAGCTTATAAGAATTTTTTTTTTGAGAAGCATTTTTGTCTATACTTAGAAAACAACCGAGGGAAATTTAAAATTTTGAACTTGTGATAGTATCCTTGTTGCCAAACACCTGCACCAGTGCAGCCAGGCAGTCCTGCGCAGGGGTGTCTGGATTCTCTTCCAGAAGCTCACACAGGAGATTCAGGGCAGGGCCGCCCAAGCTCTCGACCAGCCGCCGACGCCGTTCCGTCTCGGATATGTGGCGCCACATGTATAGCATGTCATTGGCGTGGTCCAACCAGCTCTCGAAAGACAGACCCCCACAGCCGGGCTCTTCCATCCCAGAGAAGTGCCTCAGCTCCTGGTAGGCCATGTTTTCCAGGATAGGCTGCACGGCTTGGCCCCAATGCTGGATCCAGGCTCCAGCCCCATGTGCCCCTCCTGCCACATCAAAGGGCCCTTCCTCACCCGAGCCTCCTGCCTCACCTGCGGCTCCTGCCAATCCCACGGCTCCTAGAATGCCTGCAACTCCCATGTCACCTGCAGCTCCCTCCTCATCTGACAGTCTTGCCTCACCTACTGCTCCTGCCTCATCCTCTCCTACAGCTCCTGCTTCTCCCACGGCCCCTCCATCATCCACAGAGCCTTCATCCCCTGCAGACCCCTCATCGCTCCCAGAGCCCTCATCACCTGCAAAACCCTCATCATCTCCAGAGCCCTCATCACCTGCAGACTCCTCATCACCTGCAGACCCCTCATCACCTCCTGCTCCTGCCTCTAAAACGCCTCCTTCTCCTGCAGCCCCTACCTCACCTGCAGCCCCTGCCCAACCCATAGCTCCTATAACACCTGCGACCCCCATGTCACCTCCAGCTCCCTCCTCATCAGACATGCTCGCAGCCCCTGCCTCAACTACATCATCTTCCCCATCCACAGCCCTCTCGTCTGACAACCTTGCTTCATCTACTACTGCTGCCTCATACACAACCCCTCCCTCATCTACAACTCCTTCCCCATCTGCCCCTGCTCCTTCCTCATCTGGCATGCTCGCCTCAGCTGCAGCTTCTTCCTGGGCTGCTCCTCCTGCCTCACCCGCTCCTTCCTCACCTTCTGTTTCTTCCTCTTCTGACACTCTTGCCTTGGCTGCAGCTCCTTCCTCCAGTAGGAAGGGGGCAGGAGGAGCCACATCTGCTCCTCCTTCCTCACCCTCAGCTCCTTCCTCAAAAGGTACTCTTGCCTCATCCTCGGCTCCTTCCTCAGCTGCTCCTCCTGCCTCACCCACAGCCCTAACTACATCTCCTTCCTCCATTGTAGCCCCTGATCTACCTGAAGCCCCTGCCCCACCTGAAGACCCTTCCAAAGCTTGCCCGTGAGCCTGTGCAGGGAAATTGACTGTGTCCTGTAGCTCGATATCAGGGACCCGAGGCAGGAAGATCACAGTCCAGGGCCCCCTATCATTTGGTATTTGTTGGGGGATCAGACTTTGGTTTAAATTGTCAGCGAATTCAACCAAAGCGACCTTTGCCCCGATCTCTTTTCTGAAGACCTTGCCAAGCACTCGGTACCTGCCCAGGGGCCTGAGGGCAGCCTGCACAGCCTCCTGGAATTCTTCTTCCTCACAGTCATCAGGGATACCCAGGATGAGCAGGGAGCGCTGGGCATTGGCACCCATCCACCTGCACCAGTCCTCAAGAATAGCCAGTCCCATAGCAGGGGGACTAGATGGACAGCACATGATTGGACAAAAGTGTGATCCTCTGCAGCGGTCTGTGAGTGCAAAAGAGAAAAATGAAAGTTGGTATCAGACAGCCCTGCCTCCGTTATTTAAATAAGAATGGCCCCCATAGACTCATATATTTGAATACTTAGTCAGGGTGTTGCGGATTATTCCTGTACACTGTGTGCAGATGTGTCACTGTGATTGGTTTAATAAAGAGCTGAATGGCCATTAGCTAGGCAGGAAGAGGGACTTCTGAGAACAGAGAACTCGGAGAAGAAAGGAGGTGTTGTGAGCCAGAAGCAGGGAGAGCAAGACATGCAGGAGAGGTAAAAGCCACAAATCACCTGGCAACACGTAGATGAATAGAAAAGGGTTAATTTGAGTTATAAGAGCTAGTGGAACAAGCCTAAAGCTATAGGGATTAATAATAAATCTCAGGGTAATTTTTTTTGTGAGCTGGCAGACCAAAGAAACATCCATCGACACCAGAGGGTGGAACTCTTTGATAGTATTAGAAGGGCTAGGAGGTGTGGCCTTATTGGAGGAAGTGAGCCATCTTACCCATACCAGCTGGAGCTTCTCCCCAATACGCTCTGCTACAGAGTAACTGAAAGCCTTATCCTTTCTTTCTTCACAGAGGATCTGGAGCTTGAGTTTCCTACTCTGATCTGAAATCAAAACCTTGAGTGTCTTCCCTAGGGTTAGATTGCCCACCCTAACACACACTATAATCAACAGCCCAGCCCTAGGATTCCCACTCCATCCCATCTGGAGTTGCTCAATTTCCCTCCCACCATCACCTGCACTTTTGCTACCAGAGCCTCTTCTGCAGCTAGAGCCCTCACTACTCAGGCTTCTGTGGCTACTGGAGAAGTTCCACCACCTCTCTGCATGTGTTCCTATGTGTCTGAGTCACGGTTTCTATTGCTGTGACAGAACACCATGACCAAAAAGCAAGTTGGGGGGTGGGGGGAGAGGGTTTCTTCAGCTTACACTTCCATATGGCTGTCTATCACCAAAGGAAGTCAGGACAGGAACTCATACAGGGCAGAATCCTGGATGCAGGAGCTGATGCAGAAGCCATGGAGGGGTGCTGCTTACTGGCTTGCTCCTCATGGCTTGCTCAACCTGCTTTCTTATAGAACCCAGGGCCACCAGCCCAGGGGTGGCAACACCCACAATGAGCTGGGCCCTCCCACATCAATCATTAATTAGCAAAATGCCTTACAGCCAAATTTTATGGAGGCATCTTCTCAGTTAAAGTTCCTTCCTTTCAGATAACTCTAGTTTGTGTGTCAGACTGACTTAAGACTATATCCACTATTTGCCAGTGTTAACAATCTCTTCCCAGGGTGTCTATGGTCAGTCGAGTTCTTTTTTTTCCTTTTTTTCTATTAATTTTTTTTCACTTATTTAACACACCAACCACAGTTTCCCTCCCAACTCTGAGTTCTTGAGAAAGTGAAACCTGCAGCTCCTTGATAATTTTCTCAACTCTGACTCCAGGGATACTGCAGCCTGCAGATTGTGGAGATGATTCTGGAACTGCCTTAAAACCCTGAAGAGGAAATCCAAGAACACACTTAAGCCAAACATTCCAAAACTGTTGCATTTGGGGGAAGGAAAGTCTCCCAAATCATCTGTGGATAGTCACGGTGGTGTCTTGCTTCTAGAATTCCTAGGAAAATGAAAAAAAAAATTTCTGGTATCTGTTCTGGACTAATAACTGGACACATGCAACTATCAGTGTTGCTATGACAACAGACCTGCACATCAAAGGCTTTCTGTTACGGTTTGGAGGATCTTGGAGCAATAGGTATATCTAGAGACCTTCTACAAACAGAATGGTCCAGGAGATGTGGAATGGTTAGGGGCTGGTTCTGGCAGCTGGAAGTCAACAAGCAGCCAAGTGCTGGGATTACAGATTATGCCTCCACTCTTCCTCTGTATTTGCCAGACCACCTCATTATTCCAGGAACCTTCCTTAGGCAAAGGCTGCCTGTGTTCCTGACTCGGGTGTCGTACCACAGCTTCTTAGACTGCAGAGTCAGTCTTTAACACCTACAGAAGCACTGAACTAAAGAGTGCTTATTTTAAGACAAGCAAAACTGCAGCTGAATATTCAGATGCCTTTCCCACTTTCTTAGTATTTTTTCAGAATTTTTATGAAGAATTCTGGAAAACATGCGCAGCACAGACGAAAACATTTGTCCTGCCTGGCCGTGGTGGTTCACGCCTTTAATCCCAGCACTCGGGAGGCAGAGGCAGGCGGATCTCTGTGAGTTCAAGGCCAACCTGGTCTACAAGAGCTAGTTCCAGGATGGGTTCCAAAGCTACAGAGAAACCCTGTCTCGAAAACACCAAAAAACCTCATTTGTACTATCCTAGGATCATATAGTGAATTAGTTTATCATGGCACTAAATAGGGAAAATTAATAGAAACGTTAAAGTTTCCCTCACTATTAATTTATAAAGCATTCCATTATGATCTTATAAGGTACAAGTAATAAATCCCTATTTTTATATGTTAAGATTTGCTTTGTGACCTAAAATTGATCTATTTTGGATAAATTTGGCTTTATTCCAGGAATGCAAGGATGATTAAACATGCAAAGCTTTAAGTGCACATATAATGAATCTGAGAAAGAGGCTGAGTGGTGGTGGCAAACAGCTTAAATCCCAACACTCAAGAGGCAGAGACAGGCAGATCTCTGAGACTGCAGACAGGACAGTGACAGCTGTTACACAGAGAAACCCTGTCTTGAAAAAAATCAAAAAAAAGGAGGAGTAGGAGAAAGAGGAGAAGAATGGAAAGAAGGAAGGAAGGAAGGAAGGAAGGAAGGAAGGAAGGAAGGAAGGAAGGAGGGAGGGAGGGAGGGAAGGAAGGAAAGAAGGAAGAAAGGAAAGAGGGAAGGAAGGAAGGAAGGAAGGAAGGAAAGAAGAAGGGAATCAGAGAAAACATGTCATGGTCATCTGAATAGATTATTTTATATTTTATTTGCAATATAATTACATCATTTACCCCTTTTCTCTCTTGAACTCCTCCCATGTCCCCACTCTAATTTTAAAAAACTCTTTAACAAAGTCTTTTTCTCTTGAAAGTGTATGTGTTTTAATACTAGACATCATACTTAAGCTGCTCAGTGTATGGCTAGGATTAAAGCTGCAGCTTTGCCAGCTGGTTCTGCCATGTTCCTTAACTTTTTGAGAGTCTAGCTTCATGGTAGAGGTATTGGCGGGACCCACATTTATTGTCAAAACTCTGTGGAGTTTCTAGGACTATGCCACCACCAAGAAGCTAAGGACAGGAGCAGAAGCTAAGTCAGGGCAGATGGGAGCTGGGAGTGTTAGTTTTCCTCTGAACCCAAGTGGCTAGGTTTGGATTTAGCTCTGGTCTGTGCTGGTGGCTAAAAATCCACAGACAAACAGGTTTGTCGTGAATTCGTACCACAAACATTGGACACCAAGTATAGCATGATTAATAAAAACCCAGACAAAATTTCTGACCTTCAACCTAAAGGTCAGAAAAGCAAAATAGCCAGCCACTGGCTCTTACCTCAACCTCAGTCTGAAAATGGTGATCATTCCTCCAGAAATCTCGGAAGGAGGCTGTGTCTGAGAGTTGTCTCCTCCCATTTTATATTCCTCTCTAGGGCAGGGATTAAGAGTGTGCACCACTGCCGCCTGGTTTCTATGTCAAGCTAGTGTGCAAACTAGTGTGGCCACTGGCATTAAAGGTGTGTGTCATTGTGGCTACAGGAATTAAAGGTGTGTGTGTCATTGTGGCTACGGGAATTAAAGGTGTGTGTGTCATTGTGGCTACAGGAATTAAAGGTGTGTGTCACAATTGCCTGGTCTGGAAAGCTGACTAGCATGACTGCTTAACTTTTCTGATCTTCAGGCACGCTTTATTAAAATACAAATGAAATGCCATTACAGGGTGTGGTTGTTACTCCAAATGCCAGCAACTTCAATCCAGACAGGAGAAAGAGCTTGCTGACCAGTCAGCTTTCAGGGCTGGAGGGGGTAACAGGACACCGAAAGTCCACCTCTGGCTTCCCCCTCAAGCATGAGTACATTCACCCTTCTACACATGTACACATGCATACACAACACACATAAGAATAGGAGAGCAAATCCTGCTGCTGCTGCTGCTTCTCATTAACTGTAGCTCTTGAAAGAGTGGGCCCTGCACTTTGCCCAGGCAGCATAGTACAGCTGATCTTTTTGACAAGGCCACAGGTGCATGGAAGATCTGGCCCTATCTCTCATCTGTCATATTGTGGTATGGGCAAGGAAGAGAAGACATGCATTTCCCCCACCCCTCACCTGATGTAGGGTTCCCCTCTGTATTCTGTCAATATGTTTATTACCATTGGTTAATAAAGAAGCCACTTTGACTTATGGCAGGGAAGAATATAGCAAGGCAGGAAATCCAAGCAGAGATACAGGAGGAAAGAAGGTAGAGTCAGGGAGATGCTATGTAGCTGCTAAAGGAGAAAGATGCCAGAACCTTACCACTAAGTCGCAGCTTCATGACAATATACAGATTAATAGAAATGGGTTAATTTAAGATATAAGAGCTAGCTAGGAATATGTCTGAGCCATAGGCCAAACAGTGTTGTAGTTTATATAGTTTCTGTGTGATTATTAGGGTCTGGGTGGCCAGGAAACAAACATACAGTCTTCATTTAAAAAATGGCACCCAATGCTGGGCAATGTACATCCACATAAAGCCACAAAAATGAGAGTCAACTGAAGTTTCTTGGTAGCTGCATATTTTCAGATAGGTTCTATCTACTGGAAGTGAGCAGAGGCATAAATACTTTAAGAGAAGGCTTTCTGTCTCAGCATTAGCAGCAAAAGCTGTGCGTCTCCTTAAGAAATGACTTCCTAGTTGTACTGGCAGCAGGAATGGCTCTGGCTCTTTCAGGAGGTCCTTCTACAGAGCACTTAGGCTTTGTGAGAACAGGGCTACAAGTTGATTAATGGCAACATAGACCCACTGCATCCCTGGAGCTGGGTTGGTGAGCATGGCTTGCAGAGGCAGGGAACATACCTCTGCCATGCCCACTTAGCATTTAACAAAAGCGCTCCTGGTCAGAAAATGATTACAGCTATGCCCCTCACCAGTTGTAACATACAGGAGAACAGGCCCTACACCTTGCCTGGGCAATACACTAGAGCTGACCCTATTGGTGGGGGTGCAGGTGAGCTGGTCCTATTGATGTGACAGCAAGAGAGCAGCACCTGTCTCCTCCCTCATATGCCATGTGGTGGCATTGGGTAAGGGAAATATGCCCTACACCCCTACTCCTTGCCAACTGCAACAGACAGGGAGAGCCCGCCTCAGAGGCATAAGAACAGAAGAACTGGCCCTGTCCCTCATCAACTGCAGCAATTGGGAGAGCAGGTCATATACCTCACTTGGGCAAAACAGCAGAGTTGGCCCTGGTGGTGTAGGTGTGGGAGAGCCAGACCCCAGGGTGTGAGGGCAGGAGAAATGGTCCTGCTCCTTTCTGCCTGCTGTATTGGGTAAGTTAGCTGGGGCAGTGCTGGAGTGTGTACCCTGGTGTTGACAATGAGGGAAAGAACGTCGTCAGACTGACCAATCCTGCTACCACCCAGGCCCTGAACCAGGACTATGAGGTGGCCCACTCCAACATCCACCCTATCTATGAACTTCTTGAACACATGAAGGGGTCAGTCCTGAAAACCCAAAGGTGCAGGATTTCAAACCCTAGCCCTGAC